AAAACAGCCAAACAACAAACCCTGCCTGATACAGAGCTATGAGCGCGGATGGGTCTGCGGATGGGAGCCACGGTTGAATACCCTCTGCACACAGACATAACCGCAGGGTTTGTGGTGGTTTGTTGTTTGTGTTTGTTGTTTTTTTGGTGTTTTTTTGCCAAAGCTGCGTTACTCCCGGCATATTGCAGAACCTCAGCAAATCCAATTTGTAAGAAGGAGGACTGCAAAGGTGGGCTGGTCAGCGGCTCCCCGCGGCGGCCTCACTCGTCCGGCCGGCTCATGGGCAGCGCAGCGCCCCGGCAGCCCAGCCTGCGGCCAGAGCAGCGTGCACGGAAGGGCAGTGGAGGCGGGGCAGAGTAGGATTTAACTCTTCTTAAATGTCATACTTTAATGGGGATGGAAAATGTGAATTTTCTGTGCATTCCAGGAACAATTCCTTGGGGTAGTGACCTTTAGCACCGATTCTCTTATGAGAGGAAAGTAGTCGAGTGTTTATCTGGATGACTGAAAGCTTTCCCTGGTGGAAGTTTATGGAAGTGTTAAAAGGGGCGGATAACACGGGCTTTGGAGGCGCTTGTCCAATGATCTGGAGGGGCTTGGAGAGCAGATCTCAGCTGGCAGACATTTAAATGGGAGACAGCTCGGCGCTGCTGCAATTTGTAGTCAGGATTCGAGACTCTCTCTCTCTATGGACTCCCGGGCAGCTCCGGGCTCCCACGCCACCCTCTCCACCGAGTGACCCGCCGGGCAGAGCCCCGCAGAACCCAAAGCCTCGCCGAGGAGCCGACGACGACGAGCCGGGTCCCGCCGAGGAGCCGCCGCCGCGCAGGTGAGCCGGGACGGGACGGGACGCGCTGCGCGCACAGCGGGGGCGCAGATGGGTCCGGCAGCTGTGGAGGTCGGTCAGTCTCTGTAGGAGGCAAAATTTTAAGTTCTTTATCCTACCTTCGGGGAGAGGGAAGGGGAGGAGTCGTTCACTGGTTTCTAGCAAAACTCCAGGGCGACTCAGTTTTGCAGGGGGTGACACCCGTCCCTCCCGTCAGCGAGAGTGAGGCGGCCCGACCCTTCTGCTGCAGTGCTGGGGGTTAGGGTGCTGTTACATCTCTTTTCCCTGACAAGCACAGGGACTGCAAAAGCCCCGTTAGCTCTGCCTCTCATCTCCGCCTACAGCATCACTCCCGACAAATTGGATTCGGCGCCCACCCGAGACACGGAAAAATCCCGGCCCGGCCTCTGTACGGAGTGGGGCGGGGGCAGATCCCCGGGTGCCAGCCCCGTCTCGTCCCGTCGAGCGGCCCACTACGAGGTCGCTCAGCCCCTGACCCGCCTTTGCAAACCTCTGCTCCTCGGAGAAGAGTCCCCCTGGTGCCCCAGGAGCTCCCGGGTGCAGGGGACCGTACCGCCCGGGAGACTCGGTGTGTGTCAGCGGGATCGGGGGCCTCGAAGGGAAGGGTCTGCACCGGCAGTGACCGTGGGCAGCGCCGCGCGTCCGTCATCGCGCGGCCTCGGGCGCCGTCGGGCGGGACGGGACGCGGCTCACCGCTGCGCTCGGCGCCTCCCGCTGCCTCCTCGCCCTACCCTCTCACCTGAGTCGGAGCCAAGGGCTTTTTGTCGCCCGACGGTTCTATGTATCTGTCGACCACCGCTCCCCTTCCCTGCCCTGACAGGCCTCTCAGCCAGGCCAGAGTGACCGGAGCCCTCCCCGCAGCGCGTCGGGCCCCTGCGGCCCCGCCGACGCGGACGGGCCGCTCTCCTCTCGGCCCGGGCCAGTGGCGCGACTTGGAGCAGGGCTATTCCCTCCCGGAGGAGGCTTCTTACTTGCCCCGTCCTTTCCACTGCGACCCCCCCGGGGGGTCAGCAGTCACTTTAGGGAGTTCGTCCTCCGTGAGGTAAACCTAGACGGCAGCCCGGGGAAAGAGCGGGGCGGTGTTCCCAGCCGCCGTGAGGAGCGCCCGCACCCGCGGGGTATCGGGCCGACCCGCTCCCGGACAAGCCAAGCCAACCAAGCCTGCGGCCTCTCCCCTCTGAAGGCCGCCGACGGTCCCGGCGCCGCAGCCAGGCTGTGCTCAGCCACAGCTACGTCTTACCTCGTCGGCTTGGGCAGTGCGGCGGGGCTGTCCTGCCCCGGCCGGGGCCGTTCTGTCCGACGCAGGGAGCGCCGCGGCGGCAGTGGGCTGGGAGGGTGTGCCGTCCCCGCGTCCCGGTGGGCTGGGAAGGTGTGCGGCCCCCGGCCCGCTTTTCTGAGCCGCAGCGTCCCTCTCCAGCCATCAGCTGCGGCCTCGCTCCTGCTGTCCCGCTTCTAGCTCCTTTCGGTGACAGGATCGCAAGCGAAGCCCGTTTCGGTCATCAGGGCTGAGATCCAGCGTTGGGAAAACTTCCTTTTGCATAGACGGAGGTTCTGAAACACCAATGTGCGTTTGGCTCTCCCTGCTGCTGACAGGACACAGGGTTTGGTCATCTGTTTTGTGAGCGGCGACTTTCGGGTGCAGCGCCAGTTGGGCCCCCAACCCCAGCTGCCCCTGAGCCCAGCCCGGTGAGCCGGGAGCTTGAGAAGCGCTCCGCTCCTGCCCCACTCTCGCTGCCCCGACAAGCCCCACGGTAACCAAGCAGCGTGCGGTGAGGCTGTATATAAATTATAAAGAGCACTGATGCCCGTAGCTCTCTGCTTCTATTTAGCATCCAATGCCAAGCTGTCCTAAAGCATTTTCTTTTTCTGTTGCCAATGCCACCCAGAAATGCGTAACCTCTGCTGAATACTCTCTCCTTTTCAGCACGCGTGGCTGTGCACGGGAGCAAGGCTATTCCGGTTGTTTTAGGGCTCCGTGAGCAAATCTGTCAGAAGGGAGTTTTGTGCTGGGAAATGGAGCTGTCGGGCTGCGTGGACGTCTTCAGGCAAGGCTAATTCGGGTTTGGTGCCAGCCATGCCCACCATGATCTTCAGCTTCCCTTGAGTCTTGTAGGACGTCCTGCAGAAAAATGCTCACTTAAAGGGGGAATTCTCAAAGTTTCAAGGGTTTTTTTGTTTATTTTGGTTTCTTTGTTTTTAAATTGCTGCCTATACTCATTACATGTCTCAAAAAGGCCCATCTCTATGACTCTCAAGAAGAAATTATCTGAAATGTAAATGTATCCAAATTCTACCAAACTGTCTTGATCTCAGAAAAAAAAAAAAAATATGCAGTTCTCTGGGAACTGCAGTTGCCATGCCTTTTTTTATATTTAAAAATACAGATCTATGAACTATAAAAACATTACATAAGACTATTTCTGTAATTCATATGCAATAAGTGAGCCATAAAATTATTCTGATCCTTTGGGACATAAACCACTTCAATTTTCTAAATAGTCAGAGGGATTGTGTTTTTCCTCTTTCTTTGGCTAGTATTTGAAGCCCATCAAATACATTTTTCTTTTAGGTCTTCATCAGATTATCTTTCATGTTTTCTGTGAAGCACAGGAGCCCATGGCTCATCATGATATTATCCTAGCAAATATGGTTCACAGATGAAATTATAGGCCTGCTGAGGTCTGTGAGAATTTTGCTGTATATTTCAACAGAACCAGGTTTCCATCTAGTTGTTTTAAACAAGTTGCTTTGTGCTAAAAATTTCAGTAGTAACTTTCTGACTCTGTCTGGGAACTCACAGGGAAATTCTGTCTATGAACTGACATGTGGAGGTCCTTAATTTGCAGCAGAAAATGTATAAATTAAAAATTACATCTTATTTGTATGAAATAATAAACCTGAAAGCATATACATTTCCCTATCAATGGTTGCTAATACTGATCCACAAATTTCTTAATCTGTTTTAGATGATGAGATCTCAGCTCTAGATAATCCCCATATGAAGTGATATCAATGTTAGGGCACAATTCTGCTCCTATTTAAAGTCAGAAATAAAATTTCTTTTGGCTTTGTGATTAAGACTTTACAGATGATGAAAAGTGGAACTCAGCAGTGAAATATGGAAAGAATAGATTTTTTGAGTATTGAGTTACTATTAAAAAATAAATATTAATTCTATTGTATCTCTCTGGAACTGAATGAAATAAGTGGGAATTGACTATGTTGGTTGTGGTCATCTGTTTGTTCAAAGGATTCTCAAATGAATTGTCAAAAGGATTTTTGGTTATGCCAGTGTAACATCCAGTACAGTGTCAAGTAATAAAAATTTTGCAGAAATTTTGAATATAAGCTTTTACAGCCTGATTCTCACAGCTTCTACCCAAGCTCTAGGGCTATTATTTCTGCAGAATTATGACAGTAGTGAGGAGAAAAAACCTTTACTTCAGAGAGATTTCTTTTCAGTAAAACTTCGTGTATGGTGACGTTGATTTTAGTTACTTCTACTGTCCTCTTCTGTGCTCCTTTTTTTTTTTTTAGTAATAAAAAGACCTTGTTAAAGAAACATTCACAACTTCTAACTCATAGATAGATGAACCACTTCACTTCCTAATGTAAGCAAAGGTGTCATCTTCTCTCATAAGCGAATGCATTGCCCTGGGACCAAAGGTGATGTAGGGTGCCTGCATTGCATTTTGACTGCTTTCCTTCCTGAGGCATACCACCTCATGTTCCTTTGTATTTTGCATTTAAAACCCTATCCCTTAAACTTTTAATAAATGTTTAATAACTTATTATTAGAAAAGGATCCTGCTTGAACTGCTGTGGGGATCTTGAAGTTCACACAGCCTCTTCTGTATTTAACCTGTATTTATCCCTAAATGACTGGATTAATTTTACTTTTAGAAGTGTTTTTTTGGAAGTGACCATAACAAATGTTTCTGCTGAGTGGCTAATTTTCATTTGAATCACAACTTCTTTTATGAGAATGTAATGTAGCTTCCTTTAAGGCTGGAAATCAAATCAGTGAAAAATTACTTTCACCCCCCCACTTTAGGATTACATTGAAACACATGCTTGTGTTTCCTTAGGGTTAAGCACGTGGTTAATAAAGATGTATGAATCTGGGATACAGACCTTTCAATAGTAAATATTATCATGAAATTTTCCCCAAATTCCCATCCCGAAGTACACTTCATTTTCATATGACTAGACTTTACTTGTGCCATCAATTGCACATCTATGGGGAAAAAAAGGTGAAGCATCGTGCACCTCATCAGTTTTAAAAGTAAAAGTAGTCCAGGAATATGCATGCTCATGAAACCTCAACTAAGTTGTGGGACACTAAACAAACACCTGAAGTTTTCTGGCACTGCTTATAAACTAGCAATTTATTTTCATTTGCATGCAATTACTTTTTTTTTTTTCTTTTATGGCTCTGGCACCATGTTGAGCAAATAAGTGCATATTATAATACTGTATAATAGAGCATGGGTATACAGTCACCAGAGAAGTAGGAATAGTTTTGAAAGAAATCATTCTAGTCTCCTGAGAAAATAAGCACTGGTTTATAAACCTTTTTAAAAAATATTTTTAAAGCAAAATTAAAATGAAATGTTTAAATAACATTCAGGCTGTAATAGAAATGAGGAAAAAGCAACAAATGTGAAGTCTGGGCTGACATTTGTGAAGTCTGGTTATTAAAATTGTGTGTTCCATATCATATTTCATTTAGATATTAAAAGCAACCCTTCCAAATTGTCTGTTGGAGTCAACAATAGTGTCATTCTTACACCCCTTGCTTGAAGCCTGAAGCTTCTGACAAGCATAGGACATGCTGGTACATAAATATAAATGAATAAAATGAATGCATATATTTATGATATATATTGTGAGCTCTAGGGGCTCTAAAAATCTGTAGACAAAGACTTAAAAGCAACTCCCTGAGTATAACGGAACACCCCTATGATACATTTCCACTTTAGAAATTCCTTTCCCAATCCATTTGATGAGAAATGCTTTTCGAACAGCATAACATTTATTTTCTCCATGCAACGGGAAAGATGTAGTAAATGAGAAATTAGCGGTTATCTTTTATAGCAAATGGTACTGACCCTGAGCCTCTGCTGAGTCTCTAGGTGGCCCTCACAGCATTGGCATTTGGCTGCTTTCCTGCCTAGTTGTGTGGTCTCAGGCAGAGCGGATAAAGCCGTCCAGGACAGTGCCCTTGGTTTCGTATGTTTCTTGGGTAGTAACACAAGCAGGACTCTTCAGCTCAAAAACTAATTTTTTTCCATGCTGATAAAACGAGTCTAATAAGGGATACAACTGCAGCATTCCAAGCAGGTAGAAGACACTGACTCCCTCAGGGTTTTTTCCACAGTTCTTCGCCTTTTTAATGCCTGTGCTCCTTCACAGTTTGAGAGTTTTACAGGTTGGGGTTTTTTTGTAAGTAGTTGCTCATTTCTAGTGGCTTTTTCCAAGCTCCCATGGGGAGGGTCCCTCAGAGATTCCCTCATCTGTCTGTCTTGCTACCATATCCCTGGCTTTCAGAAAAACTCAGAGACCACAATACATTTGGAAGGGGGAAGTGTAACAGCTGATGAGTTTCTGCTGGGCTGGCTGCTGTCTTGAGCTGACTGAACAGCCTAAAGAACTCAGAGCTTTGGGAAGAGGAGAAAAGTGGAATAAGGGAGGCAAAAAAGGTTGTTGCTATGCTATTAATTAGGTTGGAGCAGGCATGCAGCTTTGAAGGATCTGATCATCTCCACTTAACAGCACTTCTTGAAGTGGTCTTTTTATTGTGTGCACAAACTCTGTGATATTTAAGCTCATATATGAAACTCTGTCATCCTATGTCCTTTCAATATCACCCTGCATATAATGAATAAAACTCAGAGGTCTTAAAAATTCTTAACACTTGGATTGCATCTGTATTACTTCTGTCAAGGATTCAGGGTAATGTGCGAGAAGGTGTAGTTTGAAATTATTGAAGCATCTGTTTTAACCTATACCTAAATATTCTTTCATTTTAGTTGCCTCACTTATTGCATATCTCAGCTTAAGCATTATTACACGCAGGTGCATTGGTCCCCTTTAGAGGTGGAGAGTGACAGATCTTGGGATGGTGTAATTCAGGCAACATGTGGATACAGCATACACATTATATACTGGATGTATACTATGCAAGAAGCTGTACAAAGCAAGTCCAACTAAGGAACACATAGCTAGACTAGGTCTGCTGAGTCAAAAACTTTAGTCCTCTGATATAGTAGATAGCTGTGTCATAATAATAAATCCTTGTGTAATGTAAAATTTATTCTTCCACCATTATAAGTCAGGAGCAATCTTCCTAATGTCAGTGAGCTATAAGAAGGGAATGAGAACTAGGGTAATATACATGGGGAAAAGATCTGGAAAAAGATGGAGGGTACACAAAATAAAATTATGTTTGGACTTACTTTAGCCTCTGACTTTTAATCACTATTTGAAAGCTTTTATCACTTGGTAATTTGGAAACATCTGTCCAGCTGGTAGAGTCTGAATGCTTATCTTTTTATAAGTGTGTGTGTACACACAGTTCTTTTATGGAACTGAAAATTTACTGCATATCTGGCTTCTGTTGATATCTGAAATCCACAACTGTGCTTTATTTCCTCAACTTCCTTCATACAGGATGGTCCGCACACTGTATGCCATCGGTGCCTTGTTTCTTTTGATGGGATTTCTGCTTCCAACAGTGGAAGGGAGAAAGAGGAATCGTGGATCTCAAGGTGCTATCCCTCCTCCTGACAAAGATCAGCCCAATGATTCAGAGCAAATGCAGACACAACAGCAGTCAGGTTCCAGGCATCGAGAACGAGGAAAAGGCACCTCGATGCCTGCTGAAGAGGTGCTGGAATCCAGTCAGGAGGCTTTGCACATCACTGAGCGCAAATACTTAAAGCGGGATTGGTGTAAAACTCAACCCCTCAAACAAACTATCCACGAGGAAGGCTGCAACAGTCGTACCATTATCAACAGGTTCTGCTATGGCCAGTGCAATTCCTTCTACATCCCCAGGCATGTCCGTAAAGAAGAAGGCTCCTTCCAGTCTTGTTCCTTCTGTAAGCCCAAGAAATTCACCACCATGACTGTTACACTCAATTGCCCTGAGCTTCAGCCCCCAAGAAAGAAGAAAAGAATCACCCGAGTTAAGGAATGCCGGTGTATATCTATTGACCTGGACTAAACTGAGACAAAAGTTGCAATTGCACTCTAACTGTACTCAATCATTGCCAGCGTGAGAGTGAGTGGCATGAACTAGCATACCTTCAAGGCTGGACAAAACTGAAAGGGACCTAGTGAATTACCTAAAACAAGCAAAAACCCTCCAAAAAGAAAGAAAAAAATTGATGTAAGGAAAGGGCATGCATGTGTGTGTGTGTAAGGGAGAAAATGGATATGTATAAGCAAATATCTCAATGTTCACTAAAAAAAAAAATTAACAGGGGTATGAAATATTGAAAAAACTCTATTTACTCACAATCATGAGTTAGGGTTCCTAGCGTATATCCACATTTTTGTGGCTTGCTGGGAAAGTGGAGCTGTGGGGTTTGTGAATGTTCACCTTTTGTGCTGTTTGCTTTTACTGTATTACATGAAACATCAAAGTGAGAGGACAATACGTTTGAAAGCATGAATCTATTCTTATATACAAAATAGACAAAATGCAGTTTAAAGTGTAGCAAAGCCATCACTGAAAATAGCAGCCATGTCAAGAGTTTGTAACACGCTTCTTCAGAAAAATAGCTGTAATCCAAAAGCCATGTCTGGGGAACAATGGGGGGATGTGGTAGTGTTGAAAAGTCACTATAGGTGGATGGAAAACAGAGCTACATCAACTTAGAAAGAAAAAGGCCAAAGCAAGTAGTCAGGGAGAGTACAAAAGGGAGTAGAAAAAGGAAAGATACACAAATAGGAAGACACAGAGGAAGAGATATTGTCTTCTGTTTATGTTTTGCTTTAATTTATATACCTAGTCATATATTACATAAATTAAAAAGAAACTATATACAAGGCTATAAATATACTTCTGAATTCTAATGGTTCTCTAAACCAATCAAACTCCACTCTTATGCTACTAGATTCGTTTGATGTCTTGTATTTCTGATATCAGTTATTCTTCATATCTACATATATATGTATATGCAGTATCTTTTAGTCAGTGATATCTATACATACATGCAATGAGTATGCATACTTCAGTGTGTGTATCCAAACTCCTTCTCTTTTTCACACACAGACATAAAAAATACATAACCACAGCACAAAAATCTTGCTAACCCAGATCAAGTACAGAATGGCAGTAATTTAGTACATAAAGAGCAAAGCAAAAATTAAAACAAGCATCATGTGACTTCAAATGCAATAACCACACAAGAGACAAAAGACACGACATTCATGACTAGTAAACATTGCATTGTTATTGTTATTTTAGCTTTGCCACAGGCATGCAGTTTGTTGAAACAGAGATGCAGAACTTTGCCAGCAATAATCTTCTTTTTATATCTTTTGCCACAGACTTGCATTTAAACTGGATTTGGAGTAAGTACAGAAAATTTCCTGAAAATTGAGGGCTAACTGACCCTCTCATTTGGGGGAAAGAAAACATAAAAGGGGATGCACTGCTTCCGACAGCTCGATGACTCTCACCTGAGAGGTTATCCTGCCTTTTCTTTCCTTCAGGATTAGAAGCTTAAACTTGATCAGGGGGTTTTGTAAGAGCCCAGAAGGCCCTGCAAAAGAAGTTGGTTTAGCGGGGTGTGTTCTGGGCCATTGGACCAGAAAGGCAGCCCTTCCATGCATGTAGCCCTTGCTTTCCCACGTGCTTAATGGGAAGCCTGGCAGTTTTCTCCCTGGCAGCATCTCACACCACATGGTGTGCAGACTGCTCCTGCTGTCCTGGGTGCTGCCTTTGCAAGGGCACTTTCTGGCCAGGTGCTGAAGAGCTTACAGGGTGCTGCAACCTCCCTGCCTGTGCTGTGCCTGTCCCTGTGCCTGTGCCTGCAGGGCCTCGGCAGCTGATCCTGTCCAGTGGGTGCCGAAGTAAAGGAGTGTTCCTGTGTGAGAGTCAGTACCGGGCCTGAAAGCAACCCTGACCTCACTGATATGAGTGAAATGGGAGTTAGGTCCACACTTACTGTATGAAGAGTCATTGATAGTTCAGAACTAAGTTTCCCCACCCAGCAGCAACATTTTCCAGTATCCACTATCTGCATAACTGTTCTCTCTCACATCAGATGCCTCTCTCAGTCACAAGGTGATTATTTTGACACAATTTCTTGCCACTGAATGCTGAGGAAGACAATTCCGCCCTTAGTAACATGTCCAAAGGGAAAAATATACAATGAGTGGCAAGTCACAGATTCATCCTGTTTGGACTCATTATGTTAGTTGTCCCACCTGTTATATAGTGCATCAGGCATTTATTGGTGATATCCTGCATCTCTATAATTAATCTATTTTTACTTTAAAATCCACTGCTGTGTAGGCTGCGTTTGTAAGATGAAGAGATTGCAACTCACTGATTGATATAATAAAAATGCATTTCATTCGGTGTACTCTCACTCAGCAGGTTTGACACATTTCTTCATGGATTTTAGAATCCAATTTTAAAATCTGGAATTACAGGAGGTAGATTTCCACTGTGTGGAATGTGAATAGTTAAACAGAAAGATACAGATATTTAATGTTATTATTAATACAAATTCTCTTTCACTGATAATAGGCAGGGATTGTTTTCCTTTAAATTACTTGTTTGATTTTTATTTTTTTTCAGAGGAAAGGGCCAACCTCAGTGATGGCTGAAAGTTTTGGAGTAGCTTAGGTTTCTGTCCAAGAAATGGGAACACCTTAAGAATGAATTTTTTCTTCATGTAAATTTGACAGCAGAATTCCCATTGTCTTTGACAGGGACGGCTATGTCCCTATACTCTTAGCTGTTAAGCAAAGCTTCAAACATTATTGTCTCCTTTATTTAAGATTAGGCTAGCATTCTGAAGGAAAATTGATAAAAGTATTCAAAATCCTTATGTTCCAAAACTGCCTGTGCATAGATCATGACAGAACTCCCCTTGAGGCAGATCCTTCCCTCCCCCATGTAAATTTTATACAAAGAACTTTTATGAATTGCTAGTTATTGCCTGAGAGTAAGAAAGTTCTGCTAACTTACAATTATACTAGATATTTAATATCAACCACAATATGTATTTAAATGTCTGCTTTATTCTAAAAACAATGGACTATATAACCTAAGGCTGGAGTATTTTCATGCTCAGTCTCACAAAGCAAAACTTGGTTTAAAATGAAGTTTTAATTATTTTGTAACTGAATAGAATTGGAGTTTTTTTTTCCCAGCATTTTGTACATCATTTTAACTACTAGTAACAAATAAATAAAATATCTTCTCCAGCCCGTGTCTATTGTTGTTTTTTTTTTCTTTCTTCCTTAAGTTTCCAGCTCTTTCTGGATCTGTTGTACTTTACTCTGACTTCTGTGGTTTCTTCTAATTATAAAGGGGTTTACATTATGACAGCGAGACACAGAGACAAGCAATGACACCATCATTCAACATGGCTACTTCAATAAGGTTTTTAAATGAGATCTGTCACTTCCCCCTCACCCTTCCACAATTTATAGAAGGAAAATCTCAACTCACACTTTTCCCCTTGTAAACCATATAGTGACAGTTCAAAATATAAATCAGTCTGGAATTGTTGGAGTGTTAGTTGGAGTCGGCATGCCTGCCTTACACCATATCTCAGTTTCATGTCTAGCTAGCAGTTTAGTCCTACTTTTAGGAAAAAGAGTAAGGAACACCTTTACAATACGTTACACGTTACAAGTTGCAAATAGGGACAGAGGAGATGAAAAACAATTATAAAAGAGAACAGGAAGATTTGCCCCTGCTGGCAGCATTGGCACAAGGCCAGGGTTGAGGAAGGACTGCAACTAGAGAGAACAGGTTTCTTCAAACTTTCTATATCACCGGTGGGAAACAGGCAGTAGTGATATAAAGTTTAACTCTCCAACCTGCCACCTTGCCAGACCTGTGATGGGCTGGGTTCAGGCAGGGCAGAGCTCGATGCAGTGCTGCCGTCTCCAGTAGCGGTGGCATTGGCTGCCCTTGTGATGCCAGCTGCTTTGCTAGGGACTGCCATCCTGTTGAACCAGGCTGAGGACCTCCTCTGATTTCATGTGAACCTCTGAGCAGTGATACAGGCCTAGTAATTTTCAGACTTATGCCTTTTAGTTCAAAGAAATGAGTGACATAGTCAGATATAGAGTTATATGGGGGAACAACATACAGTGTTTTCCTGTGACACACAAAGCAACAACTAGAGGAAAAAGGTCAGATGCCCCATTTCCAGCTCTGAAAAGCTGGGTGCTGGTAAGATCCAGTGTGTTCTTCCCTGACACAACAATGGAGTTGAACAGTCCAGTAGTACTGTTTGTCTGGGGACTTCTAAAGGTTTTTTAGTTTAGTCTTCCTTCTCTTCTAGTATTTTTGTGCTTCTCAAACTTACTGAAAAGATAATAACATTAGCTAATACTCATTATTTTTAGAAGGTGATTGACTTTTTCTGGTCTGAGATATAGGCACAGCTGAGTAGAATGTTTCCTTGAAAAGATGTGCATATATATCTTTATTTGAATATTTTAAACAGAGAAAAACCTTTTGGTCTTACCTTTGTAGTACTCTGTAGTACCATGGTCTTATTATTTACACGCTAACAAGCTCAGACATTCATTAAAATTCATATTTGTCCTACATACCAGCTTTGAATTAATGATACTTCCACTGTGAAGTCCCATGGGCTTTACAGATAATTACGCTGATCCAAAGAGGATAACAGAGAGAGAATTCACACACCTTAATCTTCTTCCAGGGATGCAGATAGAAATAAGACTATTCTTCTCTCTCTCCCCAGTGAGATAGGCTAGATTTCTGTGTGTGCCACGCAGTTGATTCACACATGCGTTATAGGACTGAGGCATCAGGAGAATGTTAGATTTGCTAAGCACGTGTGCACATCTGAGCAGCAGATGCACACAGTAGGTATAGTGTGGCCTGGATGGGTCAGTGGGACAGACGGCATCGTGGCTCTGCTCCAGCTGCCTGTCAGCAGTGGTGCCTGGCTGGGAAGAGGGACATTGCATTTGCAAAAACAATGTGGTAACTTCACCTTGTAATTTACCTTCTTCTGAGTAGAGGAAAAAAATAAAAAAATGAGAGCAATTAGAATTGCAGCCTTGGGGACTGATGTTCCTTTTCCAGCATACAGGAGTAAACAGAGTTTTTAGTTTCAAAAGGTTTCCTGAAGG